CATCTTGCGGTACGGCGCCGGCGGAAGGGAAAGGAACATCCGGTTCTCTGGAACGCCAACTGTCCGCCTCGCGTCCTGCCGTAACGCAAGATGGTGGCGACAACGAGGGACGCAAACATGGCGGCGCCCAGGCTACCAAGATGGCCGCGCCCGGGGCGCCTCCGCGTACGGCCACGTGACCTACCGGCCCCAACGTCCTCTCCTTGGGAGGGACGCTCAAGGTGGCGGCGGAGACGCGTAGTACCACGTGGCGCGCCACAGCCAATCAGAGATCCCCTCGGGCGACTGTCCCATCGTGAGCCCGGGAAGGGGGGAGCCCGCTGGAAGAAACCATTATTGTAACAGCAATTATGAGGGCGTTAATTAAAAATCAAATAAACAATCAAAAGGGCCAAAATCGCCCCAAAAGGCCCCGCTCATTTCTGGGTACATGTAGCGTGAGGATTTCCTCCCCACGTCCACTAGCCACAGTTGCCATGGCAACGAAGGCCCAGGTGACCGTTGCCATGGTAATGCCGGGAGTGGTCCAGGGAGGGATGCTTCCAAGTGGCAGCATCCCAGCCCCACTGCTGGCAACACCCTGGCCTGTTGCTACGGTTACCAGCTTTGGCGGGTGTCTTCCTGGAGCGTGACCGAATCCCGCCTTCCCACTGAAATTTTCCTCTCTCGTTCCCGGAGTCGGGCGGCGACAAACGAAACGATTTCGGTCCTGGGCTTTCGTCAGCTTCCTCAGATGCGCTGGGGTGGGCATGGAGAGCCCAGCGACTACGCCACAGCCAAAGCCACGTCCTGCCGATTGTAGGACCGGCGCTGAGGAAACTCATTCACTCAGACCTGACGTGTGTCCGTCAGTCGGCTGCACTGGGCAGCACAGTATGGGGAGGAGGCGGGCAGCCCTCCGTGGAGAAAGAAAGGCAAAGAACTATTTAGAAAAGCTGGACATGCACAAATCCATGGGGCCGGATCGAATGCATCTGGGGGTGCTGAGGGAGTTGGCTGATGTGATTGCAGCGCCATTGGCCATTATCACTGAAAAATCCTGGTGATCGGAGGAGGTCCCAGATGACCAAAAGACAAATGTAATGTTCATATTTTAAAAATAAAAGAAGGAAAATCCAGGGAACTACAGACTGGTCAGCCTCCCTTCCGTCCCTAGAAAAATCATGGAGGAGATCCTCGAGAAAAGGGATCGAGTCAACATGGGTTCACCAATGGCAAATTATGCCTAACCAACCTGACTCGGATAACTGGCTCTGTTGATATGGGGAAGGCAGTGGACGTGATATACCTATTTAGAAAAGCTGGACATGCACAAATCCGTGTGGCCGGACCCATTGCAGAGCCGTTGGCTGTTCTCTTTGAAAACTCATGGCAACTGAGGCAGGCCAGGAATGACTGGAAAAAGGCAAATGCCGTACCCATCTTTTAAAAGGGAAGAAGGACAACCTGGGGAACTACAGACCCGTCAGCCTCACCTCTGTCCCGGGAAAAATCATGGAGGGGATCCTCTAGGAATCCATTTGGAAACACTAGGAGGAGAAGAACACGATCAGGAACAGTCAGCATGAATTCAAAACAAGAGCAAGTCATGTCTGACCAACCTGATTGCCTTCTATGGTGAGGTAACTGGCTCTGTGGATACTGGGAATGTGGTGGATGTGATAGACCTTGAATTCACCAAAGCTTTTCATAGGCTCTCCCACAGTATTCTAGCCAGCAAGTTAAGGGAATGTGGATTGGATAAATGGACTGTAAGATGGATAGAAAGCTGGCTAGGTTGTCGGGCCCAGCGGGTAGTGATCAATGGCTCGATGTCTGGTTGGCGGTCGGTTTCTAGTGGAGTGCCCCAAGGATCAGTTCTAGGTCCAGTTTTGTTCAATATCTTTATTAATGACCTGGATGAGGGGATGGGTTGCACCCACAGCAAGTTTGTGGATGACTCTAAGCTAGGGGGAGAGGTAGCTATGGTTGGAGGGCAGGGATAGAGTCCAAAGTTAGACAAATTGGAGGATGAGGTTCAAGAAGGACAAGTGTAGAGTCCTGCACTTGGGACGGAAGAATCCCAAGCATTGTTACAGGCTGGGGACCGACTGGCCAAGTAGCAGAATGTGTATGTGTGACTGTGTGTGAGAGAGAAAGTGACACAGACTCTGTTTGTGAGACAAAGAACGTATGTGTGTACAAGAGACAGGGTGTGATAGTGTATGAGAGACACACTCAATGTGTTTTTCAGAGAAAAAGAAACAGAGTGAGTGTATGTGTGAGAGACACACACAGAGACAGTGTGTGAGGAAGAAAGACACACACACACAAAGCTGGTGTGTGGGAGAGTGACTCAGAGCCTGTGTGAAAGAGACACAGAGACTGTGTATTTGTGTAAGAAAAAGACACAAAGTTTGTGTGAGTGAGAGAGACTGAGCGAGACACACAGAGAGATGGTGTGTGTGTGTATCAAAGTGTGTGAGAGTGACTCAGACACTGCGTGTTTGTGTATGTGTGAGAGACATGCAGAATGTGTGGCGAGTCACAGCCTATGTGACAAAAAAATGTGAGAGATGGAGATGAAGAGAAAGTGTGTGTGTGTCTGTGTCTGTGTGCGTGTGACTCAGACTATGTGTGTGAAAGAGAGGGAGACCCAGGCTATGTGTACACTGCAGAGTTTTTCCGGGATACCACAGGTATCCCAGAAAAACTCTGCCAAGTCCAAGGAACATGTCTGCTCTTCTGAAACTTTTTTTGGAAGAGCAGACGCATTTTTTTGGCATTCCTATAAACCTGGTTTCACGAGGAAGAAGGGATGTGCTGAAAAGAGGCTTTTTCTGGCAGTTGGCCCGGTGTAGACAGGCCAAATGTCAGGAAAGCCTCTTTTGAAAAATAAGCTTCATACTATCACTTTAACTCAGTATCTGGACAGCCCCACCCCCCGGACAAGAGCCCATGTCCAGGAGACTGCAGAGAAGATGGAGCAATTCCGCAACTGCTGAGAAGTTTCTCCCGGTTTCATAAGGTAGGTGGCAGGAACTTCTCGTCCTTTTACTTTGTCTTTAAACCCCTCGTCCTCTGCCAGCATCTTCCCACTGCATGAGCTCCTTACTCAGCCAACATCCTCGTACCCCCAAGGCTCCCTGCCTTCTAATCAGAACAGACCAGTCGGTCTCCAGAGTCGGTCAGAGGGGGCCAGCCCTGCACCAGAACCTCACCGCCTCTCTGAATTTGGAAGAGTTGAGGGGGTAAGGGGGAGGTCGAGGGTTGTGCCGTCCTAAGTGACTAACGGGCCTGTCTTTGCCGCTTGGATTTATTGGCTGGCTCAGTTCAGTGGTTCTCCCTGCCTTCTAATCAGAACAGACCAGTCGGTCTCCAGAGTCGGTCAGAGGGGGCCAGCCCTGCACCAGAACCTCACCGCCTCTCTGAATTTGGAAGAGTTGAGGGGGTAAGGGGGAGGTCGAGGGTTGTGCCGTCCTAAGTGACTAACGGGCCTGTCTTTGCCGCTTGGATTTATTGGCTGGCTCAGTTCAGTGGTTATGTGCGTGATGGGATATTTTTCTGCTGAACCCAGAGCAGTTTGTATTTAGGCTTAATACTAAAGAACAGAACTGGTCTCGATTATTTTCCTCTAGGGGAAGGCTCAGAGTTGCCTGGGGATCCCAGGCATTTTAATTCCTGCCCCCTCTTCCTCGCCAGCAGTCTCCTGCGGCTTAGACCATCCACCCCACAGTGTGGCTCTTGCCTGTGCTCACCCAGCGCTGACTCCACTTGCAAATGTTCCAGGAAACCCACTGCTGGATCGGTCACTGCAGGGAAGGAAGCTCCATGCTCCAAGCAGCCTGCAGCCGCCCTCTCTGCCTTCTTTGGCATTTGACTACCCAGATAAACAAGGCAGCACAAAGCCAAGTGGGGCCAGTTACCCTGGGACAGGAAGGAAGGGCCTCTCTTGGACGGATAACTGGTTAAAAGTAGGGCTGTGAAGCGACTGAAAAATTAATTACAAGTGTGTGATTAAAAAAATTAATCGCACTGCTAAACAATAAGAATACGATCTATTTCAATATTGTTGGATGTTTTCTACAGCTACATTCTCCCCCTTACCCCTCTGCTAACCCAGTGCCCCTGCCCTCCCCCAGAACCGGGGATACAACCTAGCAGAGTGGAGGGTAACTCAATGACTCTGTGGGAGAAGACAACCCCCTCCCCACACCAGACCTGCCCTGAATCTCACTGGCCCTGCTGCCGCCACAGCCACATACTTTTCCCTCCAGGGACCGGGGCGCGTGCAGAGAGAGGCCGTAAACAGTCTGGATCTGTGGCTCCGAACATGCCATTTGACAGGCACGTACTGCCGTCCCCTCCCCGATTCCCTTTGCAGGACAAAATCCCCGACATTTTTTTGTCATTTAAAAAAGCTGGCCGGCCGGAGATATAACAAGTGAAAAGGAGGACATCTCCGGGAAAACTGGACGTATGGTAGCCCTAGATTAACTCACATTAACTTTTTTAACATGTTAATATTGCCCTGCATTAATCACAGGATTAACCCACGGTAATTGACAGCCCTGGTTAAAAGACAGGAAACAAAGGGTAGGAATAAATGGTCAGTTTTTCAGAGTGGAGAGAGATAACTAGTGGGGTCCCTCAAGGATCTGTCCTGGAACCCGTCCTATTCAATCTATTTATAAATGACCTAGAGCAGTGGTCCCCAGCCTTTAGAGGCTGCCGGGCGCCAGGAGGCGTGGCCGTTCGCCTGCCGGGCGCCAGGGGGCGGGGACACATGCACGCCCAGGACCGGCGCCCCTCCCCCAAGTGCTGCGTGCCCGGGGCCGGCAACCTCCTCCCCCAAGCGCTGCGCACCCCCCCCAAGCGCCGTGCACCCGGGGCGCGAGCGGCCAATTTGCGGCGCTCCCGGGGCCGGCAATTACCATGCGCCCAGCTGGCTCCAGCACCATGCATGCACCATGTGCCCAGGGCCAGGCCAGCCCTGAGCACTTGGCGGGCGCACACAAATGGCCCCGCGGGCACTGTTGGGGACCACTAACCTAGAGAAAGGGGTGAACAGGGAGGTGGCAAAATTTGCAGATGATCCCAAAGTGTTCAAGGTAGTTCAGACCAAAGCAGCCTATGAAAAGCTTCAAAAAGATCTCACCAAACTATGTGATTGGGCAACAGAATGGCAAATGAAATCTCATGTGGATAAATGTAAAGTGATGCACACTGGAAGAAAAATCCCAGCTAGATGTACAATATGATGGGGACTAATTTAGCTATAACTACACAAGGGAGGCATCTGGGAGTCATTGTGGATAGTTCTCTGAAAACATCCACGCAATGGGCAGCGGCCGTCAAAAAAGCAAACAGACTGTTAGGAATCATTAAAAAAGAGATAGAGAATAAGACAGAGAATGTCTTGCTACCGCTATATAAAACAATGGTTTTATTACGCAATAGCTGGAACTCCAGGGCTAAGGGTCCCCCCAGCTTCTCCCCTTCTCAGGCACACTCAAAACAGGAGGAATCCCAGGCTTCCTGGCAGTGCTGCTGGTAAAAGCTGTTTTTCTCAACACTGGATTTCATGTGCTGGCCTGTCGTCCATTCCCCGGCTTGTTCAGGTCTCTCTGAAGTTCCTCCCGGCCTGACGGACCTCAGCGTCTTTGGGTGACCACTGTCAGCAAGCCAGTTTCTGACCCATGACAATAGTTTGCCTCTCCTCTCCTGATGCCGTGATGTGACAGGGACTCCACCAAGGGCCTGTGGCAAGTTTGAGTAAATGATTTCTACTATCCTTTTTGGCATGTTCAGAGAACTCTAATTCTGAAGTTTCTTTGCAGAAGCAGTGCCTCGGTGACAGATGAAGGCAAGGCCCCCGTACATACCACTTTGAAAGGTGCAGCTGTGCTCAGTTGTTACTGTACTGCATCACAGAGGGAATTCCCCAGGGCACCACTAAGTTGTCTGATCCTGTTGGTGCCAGAAATATGGGGGGGGAGGGGGAGTTTCGTGCCCGGGAGACAGACCGTAGTAGGAAGGGCTGCTGTTTATTTTCATTGCCTGGGGCGCTAAGAACAAGGCAAGCGGCCTGCAAACAGGACAGATTGGACAATGGGTCTGCGGATATCAAAACAGGAAAGGGAGTGCCTGTGCGTCTTTAAGGGAATTTGATCTCTGGCCCAAAACAGGCTGTGCCGGCAACTACTTTCCAGCCGCTCCTCTAGTTCCTTTTCCCAAACTGGAAAAAGTTAAAAAACAACAACTTGTCCTGCAGCACCGTCGAGACGAACAGAACATGCCGAGCGGAGCATGAGCTTTCGTGGGCACTGAAACTGAAGTGGGTTGTGCCTATGAGCTCATGATAACATCTACATTTTTGTTAGTCTCTAAGGTGCTTCAGGATCAGTCGTTGTTTCTTAAGTTTCCCCAGCTACAGACTATCTTGGCTACCCCCTCTGAAGCGTTGTATTAAACGGCTGAATGTCAGAGCAGAGAGACCGATTCTGTCCCTTCCAAAGGCACCAGGCTGCAGCCCTGGGGAGGCTGGCTCTCCGGAGCAGAAGGAACGATGCCACCCTAGGGGCATGTCAACATGGCAGTTTTCCTGGAAAAACAACACTTCTGTCCACACTGCTATTGCGTTCTTTCATCAGAAAGTCATAAGAACACAGGGGCTGTGTCTAAACTGCATCCCTTTTCCTGGCACAGCCACACCCTGACCGTGCTTTACGTGAGGAGAAGAGGAAGCAGCCTAGCAAAATTGGTGGTGCTGGCACTTACGGTTTAGGAGGAGTTTCTGGACAGACTCACAGACAGACACACTCTAAAATGAATCCTTCAGCAGAGCAGAATACAGACACATTTTTTACCATTAACAGAACAGAACAAATCTTGCTTCACCCTTGTAAACATACTTTAACTCCTGTTATAACAGGCACCAAATCTCTTTCTAGCCCTCACTTCATGTATTAAAACCTTTCTTATCAAAAAAGGGGGGAGGGAAAGAACCCGGCTCTCTTTTGGTACACGGGTAAGAGAGACAGTGTTTTCCCACTAATGACTGCAGTCTGCTTTCTTTGCCCCCCAGTCCTGCCTGCCACAAAGTACATTTCACCATTGCTCACCCTGGGTTTGTGTGGTCAGGGCAGCGGGAAGATGGAGGACTCCTCGTGGTCCCCTGGCGCCGCGAGGTCACGCCTGCTGCTCAGTCGCACCATTTTCCTCATTTCTCTCCACATTCTCCAGCTGGGCTCAGGTAGGATCCCTGGGGCTTTAAGGCCCCACATGGAAGGGAAGGAGAGAGGCCGGGCACAGCAGGGCCTTGGCCCAACTCTTCCAAACTCTGGGGGAATTTACATAAAGTTACAAAGATAATTCTCAAAAGGCCGGCAATTAAAAGGGAGGCAGCCTGGCAGAACCGGGTGTGATTAGAACTGGTGTGAAAATGCCAGTTATTGTTGGCAGGAAATTTTTTTCAACTGGCTTTCAAAATTTGCCACCAAGGCTATGTGTACACTTGCAGCTTCTTGCACAAGTAATATGCAAATGAGACTGTGTGGAATATCGCCGAGCCTCATTTGCATACCTAATGAGCCACCATTTTTTTTCAGAAGAGGCTCTTGCACAAGGAGGAGCATCTACACTGCCCCTTCTTGCACAAGAAAACCCCTCTTGTGCAATGCCGTTCTTCCTGAAAAGCAATAGCTGTAACAGCATTGTGCAAGAGGGGTTTTCTTGCGCAAGAAGGGGCAGTGTAGACGCTCCTTCTTGCGCAAGAGCCTCTTCTGCAAAAATGATGGCTCATTAGGTATGCAAATGAGGCTCGGCGATATTCCACACATAGCCTCATTTGCATATTACTTGCACAGGAAGCCGCGAGTGTAGACATAGCCCAACTGTTTTTTGTTTTAATTTGTTTTGTCCGGTAACTGGGCAGTAAACCAAACATATTAACTGAGCACAGGGAGGTCATTGGATAACCAGCTAAATGTGATGTTTAACTGGGTAACTGACTAAAGGTGGGGCAGGTGGACAGCTACCCCCTAGTCCGCAGTGGCTCCATGGGGCGGGAGCAGCCCCCTGCCTGTGGTGATAGACAGGTGGGGAGGGGAGAGGGAGGGAAGAAGTGCAATACACCCAGGCTTATCGGTTATATCCCCAGCCCAGCCTGCACTGGCTTCTCAGCCGCCATGTGTTAATGTCCCAGTTCTCGCCCTTCCCTTGTCTCGTCCAGACTGGATCTCGCATTCCCACGTGCAGGCCCTGGTCAGTTCATTGTCATAATTCTGGCCTGGAACAGGAGTCCATGTATTTCAGACACCTCCTGCCTCCCAGCTTTCTGGAGAGGCATTGTAACCCCTGTGCAGCCAGAGCCTGGCGGGGAGACATACGTTGCTGATAAAAACACCACAGGAAATGCAGCTTGCGTTGCCACGGGGCAGCCCTCCGGCTGATCCTCTCTGGCTACAGCTCCCTTTGTTCTGCCTCCTTCGACAGAGAGTTTCAAAGTCATTGGACCCGACCGCCCCATTCGGGCCCTTGTGGGAGAGGATGCCCTGCTGCCCTGCCACCTCTCCCCCCAGATGAGCGCCGAGCGCATGGAGGTGCGCTGGTTCCGATCCATGTTCTCTGCAGTGGTCCATCTCTACCGGGACGGGAGAGATCAGGCCGACCAGCAGATCGCGCAGTATAAGAACAGAACGAAGCTGCTGAAGGACGGTATCGCCAACGGGAGCGTCTCCTTGAGGATCTACAACATCACCCCCTCTGACGAAGGGACGTACGGCTGCTTCTTCCAATCACTGAGCTTCTACAAAGAAGCCATCTTGGAGCTGCAGGTGACTGGTCAGTAGCATGGGCTGTTTGCTCTGCTCAACACCAGTGACACTGGTCATGAACGCCCCCTCCCCTGGCCCTCGGGTCTGGTTTGTGCAGATTAGTCACTTCTACTCACAAGAAAGTTACTGGAGAACTAGGGAATGCGGCTGGTTGTTAACAGGATTGATGCACCTGCCGGCCAGCTCCTCACATCCCCACCTCTGTGTCCAGCTCCTCTGCCCCCCTGGTGCTGGGGTGTCTATTTCAGCCAAGGTCAGGCCCCACCTGTTTCCCTGACCTCCAGTCTGGAGCTATGCCCCAGACATGGCTGCTCATCCCAGGGAGCGCGGCTCCTTCTCCCACAATTCCCTTGTACTCCAAGAAAGCCCATGGAAATGTTCCAGAGCCCTCTGCTTGCAGGAGCTCCTAGCATGTGCGGTTTTCCTGTGGGCCCCGGGGGTAGAAGTGACACGGGTCCGCTCCCTTCCCCTCCAGGTCTGGGCACCAGCCCTCACCTCTCTGTCGATGGCTACCGGGACGGAGGGATCCACGTGGTGTGCCAGTCGGCCGGGTGGTACCCAGAGCCCCAGGTGCTGTGGAGAGACGCCCGGGGGCAGCAGCTAGCACCAGCGATGGAGGAAATATCCAGGCAGGCCGACGGGCTGTTCAATGTGCACAGCGCTGCCGTGGTCACGGACGCTTCGACCCAGAACCTCTCCTGCTCCGTGTCCAACCCCCGCCTCGGCCAAGGGAGAACGGCGGCGCTGCACATAGCAGGTCCGGGACTGGCCCTTGGGGAAATGGCACCCGGGTGCATCGGTCTTTGGGTACCTGGCCCCCCCTTATTCCCGTCTCTGTGGGAGCCTTCCCACGCCCTCCTCACCCTGGCCCCGTGACACTATATGTGAAAAACACAACAACTATAATAACGAAAAACCCTTCTCCTCTGACCCCTTCTGCTGCCCCTTCACCCCAGACCACTTTGCCCCTTTCTCTCCTAGGGCCCAGGTCTCCTGCTGCCCCTCAACCCCTGCACTAGGCTGCCTTCTCCCCTAGCTCTCCTGCACCCCTTTGTCATCTAAGCCCTGCTTTCCCCTCCTGTGCCCCGGCCCCTGCCTTTCCCCCTTCCCCAACCGCTGAACCCCATCTCGCACCCCAGCCCCTGCACTGGGTCCCCTTCACCCCGAACACCAGCAACCCCCTTCTGCACTGCCCCCTGCCGTTCCCCCTTCTCCCTGGTCCCCTTTCACACCCCTTCCTTCTTAGCCCCCAATGCTCCCCTCCTGCACCCGGGCGGGGAAAGCGAACCAAGAGCAGGGAGCTGGGACTTTGCTGGGACTCTCCCATCTCGCACCCCAGCCCCTGCACTGGGTCCCCTTCACCCCGAACACCAGCAACCCCCTTCTGCACTGCCCCCTGCCGTTCCCCCTTCTCCCTGGTCCCCTTTCACACCCCTTCCTTCTTAGCCCCCAATGCTCCCCTCCTGCACCCGGGCGGGGAAAGCGAACCAAGAGCAGGGAGCTGGGACTTTGCTGGGACTCTCATCGGCTACGTGGGAGGGGCCACATCTCGTCTCTGAAAAGCCAGGCTGCCCATACCTGAGAGGCCCTCCCAGATCACCGCAGGCCACCTCCCCGACCCCCGCCACTGCCCCATCGCTTCTGTCCGCGTTTCAGCGCCACTTTGCCTTGCAGACGTGTTCCTCCCGAGGATCTCGCCCTCCCAGGTGGCTCTGGCGGTGGCCCTGGCTGGTGTGTCCTGCCTCCTCGCCTTGGCCGGTTACGCCTTCTGGAAGCAGCACAGAGAAAAAGGTCAGGTGACGGGGGGGGGGACCCAATGGGAATTTGGATGATGCACAACGGTGTGTGTGAACTGAGAAGCAGCAGCTGTAGAGTCACCCCTGTGGGTCTCGCTGTGGATTGGCTGCTGCTGCCCCTGCCCTTAGGGGCTCAGTGTGTGTCGGGGGCAGACCCAGTAGAGCGGTTGCGTGACCTACAAGCACCACACATGCCTAACGGGAGAGGGGCCTGGCCCCAAAGGGTTAATAATCTAATTAGCGCTGGCATGCCCGGGGCAGCAGCAGGGACACTGAGGCACAAAGCAGGGCTGGGACATGCCCAAGGACACCTGCAAGGCAGTGGCAGAGCCGGGCACACGGCCTTGCTCTCCGGAGACCCCGCCCAGTGCCCCACCGACTGCCCAGGATACTTGCTAACGTCCACAGACAACTTCATCTCAACAGCCCCACTCAGACCTCAGCCAGAAATGGTCTTCAACTGCATCCTCAGCAGGACCTCTTCCCAGGGTTACAGATGAGAACCAGGCCTTTCCCTTCCCCACCGGATAGTCACAGCCAGGAACAAGCCGCACTCCCAGCTCTGACCCCGAGTCATCGCTCTCTGAGCGAGGGGAAAGCGCTTGGACCCCGGGATTTCCAGCTCTGGCCTCTCCCCTCACCAGCCTGGAGCGAGAGACAGGCATGGAATGCGAGTACTTTCCCCTCGCTCCCTTAGCGCCAGGGGACCGGGAAGAAAAGCAAGTCACGTCCCTTTACACCTAGTAGGGACATGCATCACATGGGGAACTGAGGCCCAGAGCGATCAGGGCCCCAATTCAGCAAGATACTTAAACAGAGGGGAGGGATAGCTCAGCGGTTTGAGTAGTGGCCTGCTAAACCCAAGCTTGTGAGTTCAATCCTTGAGGAGGCCATTTAGGGCAAAAATTCATCAGGGATGATATTTGGTCCTGCTGAGAAGGCAGGGCCCTGGATTCAATAATTCTAGGAGATAGGCAATCTCCATTTATTTTTTTATACAGGCTCCACTGTATACATGTGAATACTCCCATTATTGTAAGCCCGTATCCCACTGTCAGGAACTTTTTCCAGCCCTTCAGTAATGTTGTGGCTCTTTTCTGCAGCCTCTCCAGTGTGTCAGTATCTTTTTTTTCACCTGAGGCCACCAGCGATGTTTGCGGTACTAGACTAGTGATCTCACTGGGGCTGTTTCTGGAGGTCAAACCTCCTCTCTGGGCCTGCTCACAACTCCCGTTTGCACAGTCACCATTTTTTCCCCACAGCATCAACCCGGAAGCTCAGGCCAAATGTTTTGTCCATGGTGACCCCCCCTAAATCGGGTCAAAAGAGCCAGTTCATCCTGGGTAAAATTAGCATTGGGTGGAACTTATGGCTGCTGAACTGAGCCGCGGTTTGAAAGCGTTTGGGTGATTTGAGAGAGAGAATTCAACCAGTTTACCCAAAGGAAGGTTTCAAAGTTACTTGTTTATAGTCTAAAAATGCCTTCACGGGGAGAAAGTACTTTGTCCTAAAGGGCCCCTTCCCCCCCTTCTTCCCCTTCCTGCCCAACAGCAACTCACTTAAGATTTAATCAGGGACATTTACAGCACAAGTCACAGACAGGGCACTGGGGGTCAATTTTGGTATTTGACCTCTCCGTGATTTTCACTGCAAATGCTGCTGACTCAATCGTAGCCTTAGGCATGTACAGGACAACTGAGTGAGGTTCTATGGTCTGTGATGTATAGGAGGCCACAAAGGGCCCTTCTGGCCTTAAGCTCTGTAAAGGGGGTTTCTGTAAAATAGCCGCTCTTTGGAGGGCTGTCATTGTAAATCAGACAGCATGGATCTCATCCCTTGCCACCTCTTCTTCCTTAGGCCACCTGCAAGCTCAACTGGAGAGAGAGAGGGGTAAGTTTCGGGGACAAGTGCCCTGAAGTAACAGTAGGAACAACCCCGTTAACATGCCGGCATGAAACCTCACCTCGCTCTTCTTTTTCTCCTCCAGAGAGTCTGCGTGCTGAGCTGGAGAGGGACAGAGGTACATTTAAAACCACGCGTGGTCCTGTGGCACCTTAGAGGCTAAGCAAAATATATCAAATCCTAAGCTTTTCTGGGCAAAGGCCACTTCCTCAGATGAGCTGGAGCGGGGGGAAAGCTGGTTTTATAATATGCCATCCAGTTCGAGTCTTTGTTCAGGCCAAGGGCAATGGCGTCAAATTTCCAGATGAAGGACAATTCAGAACAGCTAACATTACACCTAGTACTTGCTCCTCCTGACTCCTAAGAGGCAGAACTCTGCCACACAGCACAGATCTGGCCTTAGTGCAATATAGTTTGCCATGTGTTAAGTAGTAACACAGGATTTAGAACGTGATTAAGATCAGAGTTTTAGATCTCTGCAACACTCCAAAAACCCAAAATCTGTTAAAAGAATCTTTTTCTTTCTTACTTCAAGCCATTAACACCTCTCTAAACTTTGTGTGAACTTTCATCATGCAAATATCCTGTCACACACCCACCTTGCAGCCTGCTTCCTGCCAGGTCTTTTCCAAGGGAACTCTTATGGTACTAACAGAAGCCACCTCAGTCCCCTGACATAACAGCTACGGAACAGATGTACCCAGGACTCCAGCTGGCACACGCAGCCTCACAGTCACCCTCTGCTTTTATCCAAAATCTTGTCCCACCGCGCGTTTCACCTTTCATGATGTCTCCTTGCCCCATGGGGCTCTTTCC